AGCTGTAAAATCCTCAAGCTAGGAGTGTCTAATTTACTTAATTTGATCCTCACAGCAGCTGTTCCTAAAACTGCCCAAACAACATATACCAGATGTTATTTATAGTAAGAAATTTTTACCTGAATTCAAGAGTTAAGCTTATTAATATCTTTTCCAAGGCATGGGATCCTATAGAACTTGGAGGGGGTGGGGAGAGAACAAGATGCACATCAAAGGAGGAGGCTGCCAGGGGGAAGGGAGAGGATGTAAAAATCTCTTCTGTGAAGGTGATCCATTCTTGGATCTATTGCATCTGACCCAGTGGTTCTTTCCCAGAGATACTCACTATTCTTCTGCAGTATTCAGGGTGGATCTTTATTTTAAAGTGCACCACAAGAGGTTCTTCAGTGTAAGTTTACCTATCATGTCCAGTTTTCATGACACAGTCAGTGGAGTGCTGCCAAAGCTATCTATTGCATCTGACCCAGTGGTTCTTTCCCAGAGATACTCACTATTCTTCTGCAGTATTCAGGGTGGATCTTTATTTTAAAGTGCACCACAAGAGGTTCTTCAGTGTAAGTTTACCTATCATGTCCAGTTTTCATGACACAGTCAGTGGAGTGCTGCCAAAGCTGCTAAGCAGATTATCCAATTAAGGGATCATCATCTTCTTCCTGAAGCTGAAGGCGTGAGAACGGACGCAGAGAGGGTGTTCTGTTCTTCATGATGATCATAAGGCATGTCAGAGTAGCTAACACCATCAAGACACCAATCACTATCCCAATGGCTTCAGCAACATCGATGCACCACTGGTCAGCTAGCAGACACTTGGCATTGCTCAAGCTGCCATTGTTGGGCTGGGGTGTCAAGCCAAGGATGTGACACATCATGGGATAAATGTCAACAATATTCATTGTCTTCAGCCTGTAGCCTTTGCGGAAAGCGGGCCCATGAGCTGCCAAGAATGGATGCATGCTTGGAAATGCATTATCATAGCCATGGTCCCCTACTGGAAAAAAGAGAGAAAGAAATCCAGAGTTGACATGCATCTAAACTATTGGTAACTGTTTTTCCCTCACTACAGGCAATTCTGCAAAACACAAAAAGGTACCTCTCAAAGCCGCTCCTTTTACAGGCCCCAGGATTGTTTCATAACCCAACACTCCCAACGCAGTTTAATATCTATAGTTTGTTATGTCTTTGAACTGCAACATCACCACTCCTGTGTCCCTCCTCCTCAAGCTGTACCTTCATGCATTTCTAATAAAACCAATTTATCCCCTAAAGTGAGACGGGCCAACGTCTACGTCTCACTTTGCACATGGAGATCACTGGAGGCAAGTTTAGTTTTAGTAGTGTAAAACAAGCAGCGATCCTTAGGGAGGAATGAAAAATTATATAAACAGACAAAAGGGGGGCACATTAAGATGAACACATTGCATATTGAAGAAAAACAGGGCAAGAAACAAGACCGTTTCTATCATTTTGGGGTGGTATTGTTTTTAAAACAGGGCAGAATGAGGGTGCAGGATGTAGTAAATAAAAGTCCCTCTTTGGTGCTGGAGTCTCCCAGTGGGGCACATCGCACCAACTGCTGCTAGTGCCCAGGGGTTTTGCAGCTGGAGACGAGGAGAAACTATGACAGCCCTTCCCCCTTAAAGGTGGATTTTTCCTTGCAGACAAAAGGACAATATGTTTTTGACACACGTTGCCTCACCATGATATTCCTGAGCTATGGAGGAGAAGGAAGACAAGCATTCCTTATTTTTAGCCTCAGGATCTAGAGGCCAGGTTTACAGTGCAACCCTAAGAAAAGTTACTCCAGTCTCAGCTCATTGATTTCAATGGGCTTCCACTGGAGTAACTCTGCTTTGGATTGCACTATTAGATGCATAGTCAGAGTTAGCAAAGGACTGCAACTTTAAATTCATCCTTAGTTTCCTTTTAACAAGTTGCTAACAGTCCCAAAACATGGAAAGAGCAGGCAGGGGAAAGGTAGTTTCCCTTCAAATGTCACACTAACACTTCTCTTTACAACAGAGGAGGTCAACAACAGCAAAACTATGTATGAAGTACATAAGGGTTTCTTTTTTTAAAATGCAGTCTGATACATCAGCCATATTTTGCAGGTTCTTTTCTGACTTGGAGAGGTCTTTTCTGATTCCTATCTGACTTACAAAGTCTCTTCCAAGAACATCAGTCTTAAATTACATGATACCATCTTGCTCCTGTCACATGTCAGAGTTCAAGTTCTGAGACATGTTACATCACACACACCATTTAAATCAAGCCTCTGTTCCTTAGAGCTGTGCTATCTGTGGTTATTTACAGCATGCAGGTTCACAGCCTGCTTGGGAAACAACCAAGCAGGAGTTTTAATGAATCGAAGGAGAGATGATATCTTCTAGCCATCAGAATCACACTTATGATCAACAGAGGTATGTTTGGGCAGGTGCTGCAGAGTACCAAATAGACCATCTTGGCTTAGCTTGTCCAGTGTTTCTGTGGGTGCAAGGATTTCCATTCACAAAGCACAATTTTCTTGCCTTCCCCCTATTGCAGAAGTTTGAAATGCCCCCTGTAATCCCAGGGGCATTTTAGGTTGCCGCAAGAGAAGGGAGATAAGAAAGCTGTTAAATCCATCAGCCCATGGAAAAACTCTGGGAGAATCTAAGCCCTCATCTTGTGATTTAACGAATACAAACACCTGCTGGGTCACCATTTCTACATTCTTTCTTGGCAGGTTTGAGACAGCTCCCTTCATCCAACTATACTGAAACTGGAGTTTTGACAGAATGTAACTGGTGCAAGGCAATTATAGCCTTTGGGGCATTCAACTACTCATCTTGAAGTATATGTCAGCCCTCCTCCCCCTGTAAAGTACATCAGTTTGCACATAAGTCCAAATGATTTCAAGTACAGGATACAATAGGAAAGGCCAATACAAAACACATATTGGTTAAATTGCTAGAACTGTTATGTGAAACCGCTATGTGGAATAGCTGCTATCGGCCCACCAATGACACACTAATTTAATCAAATGAGTTTAGAAAGTTAGCTTTGACACAGTCTATATTTTACATTAGGATGCTACAAGCAGGAAGGATAGCCTGCTTGATTATGCATTATATTATGCAAGGAATTTCTCCAAAACTGTTAGATGGCAGTCAGTCACAGGAACCAGTTTTCTTTTCTTTTTTCTATAAGTACCCAAGGGTACATTTTTATTGATTTTCTCCCATTATAAACTACAAACATACATAACAGACAAACACCTACCTACAACTAACACAAAACATATAGCGAGAGGCTTATATTTCATATTCTATCTTCGATTAACTATTTGTTAATTTTCTATCCCCTTATCTTACTGGCTTTCCCTTTTCTGTGTTCTCAAATTTCCACAAATCAAGTTATTACGCTTATATTATATATTACGCTTATATTATACACAGGAACCAGTTTTCATGGTGCAGAGTCAAGACTGAATCCTTGCAAGATTTCCCAAAGGCTCCAGTGTTCAAATGGTGACTCTCCTGTGCCCCGCATAGCTACATGGTCCCTTTCAATGTGAAAACTAATAATTTTCTCCAGTCAGCCCAACAGTTCCATGCAGGTAGAAAGTACTTACATCTGTGAAGGGTCTCATTGTGCACAATTGTCCAGCCTTCATCTGCAACCAGGATTATGGGTTGAATACGCTCATTATAGTGGTAATGATATCGCTCTGGAATTTCTTCTTTACGATAAACCTTCATATGATTAGGACTGCAGTTTTTCAAGTGGTCATATACATATGTTTCATCTGAAGAGAAACCAGATAGTGAGTTTGAAGCAACCTCGTTCTTTACAACTTATTCCCTTAGCAAGAACATGAACCCACCTCCCCCCAGATAGCAGCTTTGAGCATAGACAATGTAGCCTCATTAAGAGATGCAAGTTCAATGTGGATATCGTCTTTTAGCCTTATTTCAGTACCTTTAACATACTAGTTTTTAGACCTTATAGGTGGGTGAGGAAAAGGCAGCAGAACACACTTTTACCATTTAGAAAACAGTTCGACCATTTGTAACTTTAAATATTAATGTATGCAAATGGTATTTCCAAAGTTTCTAGTGCAAATCAGAACATTAGAAAATACCAGCCTCACATTAGCAAGAATGGTACAATTTTAATAATCTGTAAGATTTCATTTTTTAAACGTCAACCTAAATTCCATCTGATCAAAAATATACTTACTACGAGGCAGTATGGCTGCAACTGGGCTCGTGTCTATCAGAGTGTACGCCTGTGGCTCAATACAGTCATCCAGTTTAATCAACCTGTCCTGGGAACACTGTGCCATGCCATGATCACTGGTAATTATAACATTTATTTCCTCCCACAGTTTTGAGACCTTCAGGCTCTTAACAAGGTGGCCAATAAGTTTATCCACTTCCTGTAAGACGTTGGACATGTTTTTAGTATCTTCCGGGCCATACTTGTGCCCGCTTGCATCTGGCTCTTCCCAATAAAGAGCAGCAAAAGTGACAGGCGGGTCAGAACTGTTCAGCCATGTGACAATGTTTTCTACTCTTTTGCTGAAACTTACAGAAGAGTTGTATTTCATGAAAAAATGAGGAACGATATTCTGAATGTGGACATCTGTACCAGGCCACATTGCAGCAGCGCTTGTTTTGTTCTCTTGCAACTGATTGGTGACCCAAATGGGAACGGCTTCATCCCACCAAAAAGGATCTGTGTCACTGAACGGCGAAAACCTTTTCTTCGTAGCAGCATCAAACATGGTGTTTGCTACGATGCCATGAGTTTCCTCGTACAAACCTGTGACTATACTGTAATGATTTGGGAAAGTCTTTGTGATAAAAGCATTGTTAACATGTTCCACAAGCACACCATCTTTAATAAAATCTTGGAGATATGGAAGATTGTATGTCTTCAGATAATCAGCCCTGAAACCATCAAAAGACACCAGGAGTAACCTAGGTGTTGCCTCATGTGCAGAATTACCACTACAGCAAGCAAATATCCCATTAAGGAGGAATAAGAGTACTACATTCATTGTGGATAGGATTTCGCTTACTGGGACTCAGAAGATATACCTATAGGAAAAAATAGGAAAGAATTAAGAATGCCATATCAGACACATCATTCCAACTAAACCTAAGAGGTTATTTTGACCCTCAACAAAAGCCAGCTATGACTACTACAGACTTTCTAGCTGATGATCCTATACTTAGGTACTTCAACAACCAGTTATAAAGAAGGGCTGAATGTCCAAGCTACACAAAACTGACCAAAAGAAGTCTAGCTGGTAACTGTAGGCAGCTGCCTGCCTGTACAGCTGGTAACAATAACCAGCTTTGTGAAAGCCTGGGGGTATGAACAGATTGTGTGGGTGTTTAACTGTATATAAATCATGAGTAGGAAGTGGTAGTGATTGCAAGTTGCAGGTGTATTTTATATTGTATGACTGAGAATAATAAAACTAATGTCTCAACAAAAGCCAGCTGTGACTACTACAGACTTTCTAGTTGATGTACAGATTTCCCTCCTATTACATCCTATACTTAGGTACTTCAGCAACCAGTTATAAAAAAGGGCTGAATGTCCAAGCGGACTTCATGGTAAATCTCACTGCTGTTATTGCCCATTTATCATTCAACTTTCCCAATACTTACAATATCATTAAGAGTGTACTTGCAAGAAATATTAATCTAGATCTTCCCTGCTAAAGTGCACTTTCTTCTTTAAAGCTTTATTCTTCATTTAGTGAACTATTTCTACTAAAAATATGCTCAGTCCATTTTCCCAGGATAACACTTTTTCAGTGCAAGACTCTGGAACTCTGTTGAGCATAACTAATGTTATGACATTTGTTATGTAGTACTCCAGTCTATGTTATGACATTAGTTATATAGCCCTGACAGTGTAAGTACCGAAAATACGTTCTGAAGACTACAACTGGCATTCTTACTCAGAGAACACATGCTGATTTTGGAAAGGAGGGGAGACAGTTTTTCAGGAAGGCCACAAGTCACTCAAGTCTGATGTAAAACTTCCTAAGAATCCAATGATTCTATATGTGTAAGTTATACAGCACTATTACAAACACTAACAAAGTAACATAAAACTTTAAACTAAAGCTATGGCTCAAGTGGTTAAGACGCTGAACTGCAGGCTGTGGAAGGTCAGTAGTTCAGCGGTTCAAGACCCGGGTGCCGCAAGACAGGGTGAACTCCTGTCTCTAGTTCCAGCTCCTGCCAACCTAGCAGTTCGAAAGCAAGAAATTGCAAGTAGATAAATAGGTACCACTTCGGTGGGAAGGTAACAGCGTTCCGTGGGCCTTGGTGTTTAGTCATGCCGGCCACATGACCACGGAAACGTCTTCGGACAGCGCTGGCTCTTCGGCTTTGAAATGGAGATGAGCACCGCAACCCTAGAGTCGGATTCGACTGGCTTTCGAGCAAGGGAACCTTTACCTTTACCTTACTACATTTTTGGTAATGTGGCATATCACTCTTCCAGGCCCTCTGGAAATTTGAAAACTGGCAATTGCTCAGCTACACAAAACTGACCAAAAGAAGTCTAGCTGGTAACTGTAGGCAGCTGCCTGCCTGTACAGCTGGTAACAATAATCAGCTTTGTGAAAGCCTGGGGGTATGAACAGATTGTGTGGGTGTTTAACTGTATATAAATCATGAGTAGGAAGTGGTAGTGATTGCAAGTTGCAGGTGTATTTTATATTGTATGACTGAGAATAATAAAACTAACTTAGAGACTGACGTGAAGGCATTTATTATGATATAACAATGGGTTATAGTGAATAAAGAATGATGTTGTTTTGAAGCTTATTGGGGATCTTTGGAAAAGATCAATAAGAGCAGAGATGCTGCCTGGCAAATAATTATCTGCTCCTCTGATAAACTCAGCCACAGAGGAGAATAAAGGACACTGTAGCTAAGATATTAGCTAAGCTTTACTTAAACAGGTAATAATTATCTTGGAAGACCCATGACTTGTTTCTTGATATTTTTAAAAATTGAAATATAGCTACAGAGGGCTACTAACTTGGTTAGAGCAGCTGCAACAAGAG